CTGCGAGGGTGGACCAAGAAATCCTCGGATCATCGTGACCCACCTCAACGTCGCAATGACGTCGGCGAGACGTTAAACCCACTTTTAATATATTTTTCACATTTCACATTATATTTTTAATATATTTTTGTCAAGTTACTTGTGTATCAAGAGATTGCTATTTCACAGAAGCCACTAGCTTTCCAAAACCACAGTTGACTCTGCGGGAATAGACCAGAAACTATTCGGATCATCATGACCCAGTCCGACGCGCGTGTAACAATTTGCCGGCAGAACGACCGGGCCGGGTTAAGTTTTCGCATCATCGGCGTGCAATCGATACCATTCCCGGCGGAATGGTGGAAAAATGGACTGTTGAGGGGCAGTCAACGGTGAATCAAGCGCACAGAGCGTGCTCGCGCGTTAAAGCTTCGCGAGATTGCACGGCGGATCGGACAAGATGCATGTACGAGGGAGGGAGAGTCTCCGGTACACCAGTATCGGGCCGTGTCCGATAGCCGCGGCATTTGTTTCTCGCTATCGACCGAAGACGAATGCGGGTCATGGAAGCTCGCTCGGGACGATATCAAAAGTAGTTTCCGCGCGCGCGTGGCGCGGTGGCCGCCGGCCAAGTATAAATTGCTGAGCGCCATCGGACAATGATATACAGCGCGCTGAAAGGATCTCAAAGGAGCGCATTGTCGAACGTCGCAAGTACGTACCACAAGCCGCAAGCCGTGGCGATCGCCGGATCGTTCCCTAAGAAACGTCCCTCCACCGTGTTGCGCCATTTGTCCGCCGCTCTCGCGCGTCGACGATTCTTCGCGATCTTCGCGGATTACCGCGAGCGCGCTCGCGAACGTCGCACACGATAGCCGGCACCGATAATAATAATAATAATTTCACGATGCGCGCGGCGCTTGTGTTTTTATTACGAGCGCGCGCGCGCGCGCGCGTGACTCCCGGCGTTATTCATGGCGTGCACGTTCGGCGGCACGGCACGCGTTAAATTACGGGATTTCAGTTCCCGGCTGGGGCACACTGCAGCTTCCCATATAAATGAAATCTCCATTGTGATCCTGCGGGGATCTACGAGCTCGAGGTCGAGAATCGAGCCGGAAAACTCCGAGCCGGCCGGCCGGCCGGCCTCGAGTCTCCGTTCGCAATCGGCGCGACTCGCGCCGATTCGGGCGGTCCGTCTCGTTCTGATTTATCGCGCTCGGAGGGGCTCGGTACGAGCCCCGTCGTCGTCTTTAGTCTGCTTTACCAACCAGGGCAAGAACGCGAAGCATCTCCCGCGTATTTCCTCGACCGCGCTGGCGCCGGCTATTCTTTTATGCAAATATAAGGCACACAGCTCCCTCCGTCGGCACGAGGAGCGAGAGCGCGTCTGTTTAGACGCGCTCAGCTCTCCGTCGAAGCGCAAGGAGGTTAATCAATAATTCATGATGGCATAGGGCACCATCGCCGTCGCCGTTGTCGTCGTCGTGCATTCGTTCGCTCGCTCGCTCGACCACGGCTGCCAGGTCTCGGCTCGTTGAAACGCGGCCTCTCCAATTTCGCGGCGCTGCGTTACATCGGTAATTACCGCCACAATTTCAGTTGAACGCGGCACTTGGAGTAATTAAGAGTCGAGTCGAGTGTTCTTCCTCTCTCTCTCTCTCTCTCTGTCTGTCTGTCTGTCTGCCTGTCTGTCTCTCACCGACGTCTTTGTACACGAGCGTACGTTGCTTGAAAGCTTCTTTTATTCCGCTCACCGTCGACGTAAATTGCAAAACGTAAGGACCGGCGTAAAATACAGCCGGAAGGGATTGCCATATAAGTTGGGAGCTTTTAAAGCGTTGGTCGCGCAGTGACAACCTTGATTAACCAAGTCCTGGTTAGCGCTCGTCTCCTCCCCGCCGCACCCGTCGCTGTCGTTTCTCCTCAATCAAAGCTCTGGCGGTGGGTGAGCGTAAATAGCGAAAGAAGCGTTTTGTTAACGTTGCGCGAGAGAGGCGGTTCTCGCTCGCTCCCTCTCTCCCTCCCTCCCTCCCGCCCTTCTTCCTTCTCTCTCTTCCTCGTTGCCTGCGGGAAAAGAATGTACCGTCGACTTCACCCGGCGAGAGATTTATGCATTGGCGATAGGAACCGCAGCGCGCTCTTATTTTACCCGCCTCAACGGCTTTTACGCCGTTGAAAATAAATCAGGACGCTGAGGCTCTGATTAAAACGAGAAGAAGACTCCGAGGGTGTGCGCTATGGCATGAAAAAAAGAAGGAGCGCGGAGAGAGAAGTCGCCACGGTGTCGATTAAAATTTCCAAGTCGGTCAACTTCCCCCCTCCCCGCCCCCTCCCGGACGAGGAGGGCGGCGTCGTTTATTCGTTTCCCCGCAGCCCTTCGTTGATCGCAGCCGCGGAATCAACACGGCCGCGAGGGGGAGGGGGGGCGAGGTGAAAGTCGTCGCACACTCGTCTCGCGAGTTGCGCCGCTCGACACCTCGACACCTGCGTTTCAAGCGGGGCTAAAATCGCTGCTCGCGTACCAGGGGTTGAAGAGAGGAGGGCAGAAAGAGAGAGAGAGAGAAATGTCCGTTATTCGAAACTCGTTTGCCACGAAGACACGCGCGCTCTGGCGAGCGCGCGTCGAATCGAGAGCCTCCATTTCCAGCGATACAACGGCGCGGCCAAAAATTCATCCGGTTTGTCGGGCCGGGATTAACGGCGGCTGTCAACGAGCCCGACTATTAACCACTGTTAGCGCCGGTGACATCGTCGGTGCGACGATGCGGCGCGGCGCGGCGCGGCGCGACGCGACACGAACACACGGGGTGCCGTTGTTGCATCCGGCTCTCGTGCGCGGATCCACGCGGCAGATCCATCCACCCCCGCGCGCCCTCCGCGGGCACTCGGTGTCTCCCTCGCGTGCGGGAAAAGTACCCGTCCGGGACATCCCCTATGAATTAAACATTGCGCACCGGCGGGCCGCCGCGCAAACGAGATTTGCAAATTCATTTCGCACTCGGCACGCGTACACTCGCCGGCGCGCGGCAGGGGGTAGGGCGAACGGAAGGAGGGAGGGAGGGAGGGAGGGAGGGGTGGCCACTGTCGAAAAGGCGGCGGTGGCGGCGATTCCCAAAGAGTTTATGAATTTCGACTCGGGCTCTCCTGGCCCCCCTTCTCTTCTCTTCCCTTCCCCGATCTCTCCCTCGCCGTGTCCGGCCGGAATCGTATAATCTAATATCGCTAACTGCTTCACGCGCTCGACGACGATGTGACAATCGGCGAGTCGGGTTGAGCGCACCCCGGGTAAGCGATAAATGGCGGCGGCGGCGGAGTCGTCGGCTGTGTGTCCGTCCGCCGGGCGTAATTCCAACGTCGCTCCCTGCGATCGCGTTGGCCGTCGCGATTAATCGCCCCCGCGGGTTTCGCGGGGTTTCGCGAGCGTGGAAATGATAATTCCGTGCGGAACGCGCGGACACGATTGTCACGCTCGCGTTCAGTAATTAGACGTCGGACATCGTCGCCCTCGTCTCGTTTTCGTCTCATTATTCCACGGTTTAGGAGATTCGTCAAATTCGTCAAAAGACTCTCTCGGTTTTCCTCCGACTTCACGAATCGGTCGTGGCGTGAATGCCAACTGCACTGCAGATGTCAATTGCACGCCGATTTGGCGCGCGGCTGTTTGGCCGCATTTAATTAATTTCAGCCACCGAAAGCTGACGCGCGAACGTGCGACGTTGCCGTCTCGTGTTGCCGTGAAAAATTCAAGTCTCGAGTATTTTTGGAGTGACTCTCGTCGATCTTTCATTTGTCACGAATATACGAATCATAGCGCATACCAGCGGTGGATAAATGTCAGAATGCGCTGTCAAATTAGCTTAATTTCGGCCACCGAGGAAAGCATTATGCGGAGCGTGTAACGCTCACTCCGTCATCACTGTCGTCCGCGCGTCACCGAGACATTTGGGAGATATTTTTGAAATACCTGACGTTTCCTTCAATTTGTCATCTATCGCGAATATTAAGCTCAGCAAACTCTGTTGAATGTCAAGTGTGCTGATTCTCTCGATTTCAGCGATCGGGGATTTTTGCGAGATGCCACGCCACGCGAGTACGATACGGGACGGCTGAATATAGCGTGCTTAACTTTGCTACTTATTGGCGCGCTCGATATTTGCTTGACAATGAACGAATGCAACCGGGATTCCCATCGGCATCCGTTCTTATTTACCGGCGCGCGCTCAACTTGGATATCCGGTCGGTTTCATGGCCGGAGAAAGCGAGCATCCGAGTATAAAATTAATTGCTCGACGCGGCGCCGATCTCGGGGATTCAATTTTCTTTTCTCGGGTCTAAGCATAGTTTTGCCGCTATTTAAGCGCAACAGGTGCGCGCGCGCGCGATCGCGCTTTTCTGCGCGTCTCGTGCCGAGGAAGAAATCGGTCGCGACGCAGTTGCTCGTGCTGAGCCGCGAGTCCCCGCCGCTTCTTTCAAGCGAGAACAATTCACCGGTCTGTAATTAAGCGGTGATTAGACTCGATCGATGTCTGCCGCGCGGAAGCGAAGTCTGAAGCGCGATATGTAAAAGTGGAGTCTGCAACTCCGGGACTCGTCGACGAGCAAGCACGCTGTTTTGCTCGCGAAACGATTGCATGACTCTTCGATTAAGGTGATAGAAATACGAGGGCGGCAACAGTCAAACGTCTAGTTTTAGAATTTATGAAAAATACCAGGAAATATCGAAATATCGAAAGGCCAATTTATCGTCGAGATCCCCGTAACGAATTGTACAGTTCATGGTACACTTTCAACAAGTACATATACCAGACCTTCGACCGGCTCTCACTTTGTGCTTTAGCTCTGCGTTAACGATTTTGCAATCTCGCTTTAGAGACGCGATGGAAAGAGAAAAAGTAAGAGAGAGGGGGGAAAATTCGAAAGCTCTCGACCGCGAGCAGGTCGTAGCGGGACGCGATCGTCGAGCTGCGAAGCGCTGTAAACGAATACTCAAGCTCGACACTCCTGTTTTCCCTTTTCAGGACATCGGGCACACGGACGTGCTGACGGTGGCTTTCAACGTGGACGGCGTCGAGCGCGTTCTCGACCTTCGACTGAACACCGATCTAATTCCGGTCGGCTATCAGCAACACTACCAGCATCGCGGCGCGTACAAGGTGCACCCACCGTCGAAAGTTGTAAGTACCGCACTTCGGCATTCGCGCCGCGACGTGTTAACCGGCTTTCCGCAGACAACGGTCGGTTAATCGATATCGAGCGTAATTTCGAGCTGCGCTGCGCGCCAAGAAAGCGCCGGGGGAGATCCCCCATTCAGCCGCAAACCGGCGTGTGTTCGCCACACGGCCATTCACTCGAATCCGTTGACGCCGCGTCGCTCGTGACGCGCGAGTGCCACATAAAGAACGGCATTACGTACCTCCTCATAATGGCTTGACGTGCAGCTTTTACCGTCTGTGCGTATCCGGACGTTTGATTCTCTCGCGGATGATCGATACAATTTTCCTTCGCGACGCGACACTTTAACTCCTGAGGAAAAGGATCGTCGCTGACACAACGCGGGGGGAGGGGAGGTCGTCTGTCTCTTTCGGGGACGATTGAATATTATTATCACTTATTTTGTGTTCCAGCGGAGTTTTAGCTCGACACGTTGAATTTCCATTTTCTTTCCTCGATTATTCGGTAAATCATTCCTGATCTGAGAATTATTTTCGAATTTTTAAATGTGGCATCTCCATTTCGACCTTTGAATTTGGTGGTTTTAATTTTGCTGTAAAATTTAATCGGAGGTACGGCAAATAAATGCAATTTATTATGTATATCCATTTGCTCGTTTCGCACACGTCGGCTTTATTGGCCCCTATCGGCCGAGTATTTAATTTGTTGTGTGGACTTGGTTACGTCTTGCTCAAAAATTAATATGAAAATATTATTAAATTATGTGCGAAGTATATTTAATTGCATTTGAAAAATTAATTACACTATCAATAGAAAAGCGATGAAACGAGGTATAAAATACCGCTCGCGTCTCGAATTGCATTTCTGTTTGTTGTATCGTTGATTTCTCGAAAGAAAATTTCAATTAATTTGGTTATTCAGTCACATCTGGTTTGTAAAAATTAAATTAATTTTTTAACTACAAATGCCAAAAATTTTTACGTAACAACATACATACTGACATATCTGACCTACTCGAGTAAGCTCGGTAACTTAATCGTCAGCTTTCGCGCAATCGCGAACGTATCAATGATTCCGATGAACAACGCTGATAAGCGATGATATTGATTAGATGTTCGAGGTTGATGTCTCGCCGTATCTCGGAAAAGTGCGTCACTGTTTATTCGTAACAGTCAGTGCGTAATTTTTCTCGATTTCTTTTTCGCATTGCGCTCAAACCTCGTCGTTTCTCAAACGTCCCTCGCAGATCGATTTCACGCTCTAGAAGTTAACTTGTGAGGAAGGGGATATAGAAGTATGTCTCATCGATTTTTATGGTCTTTGGTTAGTATGTGTTGTAACGCAGCAAGAAATATTAGATCCTGTGCTTAGTTTAAGAGGAAGAGTTTAAGGGAAACAACCTCTCGAAAATAAGGGGAGACTTCGTATGCGGCGAATATCATAGAAATCATGAGAGATATGATACACATTCGTCAAATATGGGCTTTCGAGAAGCAACATTGCAACGCTGCTTCAGCACAGAAAGTTTTCTTTAGTGTTTATAAAAATTGGTTGTTATAAAAGTTTAAAAAATTATGGAAACAGCAAGGGCAGGTGGAGGCAAATTAAAAATCTCGCATCGTTTGGAAAATCTGAATACCCGATTGTGAAGAGTGTAAAATATCATAAAACTTTTGCGCAAACTGTTTTTCGGTTCCCGTAACATTGCCCGAGAGAACATTTGCTCTTGTTTCCAAGGGAAAAACCTGCCTCGGCCCTCGAAAGGGTTGAGATTAAGCACTTAAAAAATGTCGGTCTAATTATTTTTGCTGCTTCACACAACATACTCAAAGCGCACCAAAGTCGGTAAGGGGCAGTTCTCTCCTTTCCTCGTTGACTCTTAGGTCGATTTTGCGGTAGATTTTTTTCAGATAGAAGGCCGTTTCGACGATTCAATATTAATTCCGTCGGAACTCTGAGTCATTACGTTATTCTAACGTTTGTTAGCTTCCGCTTGGTACAGCACGTAAGTGCTGTGACTCATGATATAATTGGACGACGTTATTCATAGACGACGCCTTACGCGATCTGACAACGAGAGAGAGAGAGAGAGAGAGAGAGAGAGAGAGAAAACGTGATATTAATAATGAAAAAATTCAAGTAGCGTCACCGCTACGAGAAGAAGCAATTTCTGTTTTAAACGAGCGTGACACCGTTTCTCATCACGCCGAGCTTGTCAAAGCCGCACCTATTTCTCTTTCACGTATTCCCCCCGTCGCGTCTCCTCGCTCTCTCTCTCTCTCTCTCTCTCTCTCTCTCGGATGGCCGAAATCCATTCGGAAAAGTCCATTTGGGCCGACGTCCCGTGTCTAAACTTCCGGCCCCTCGAAAATTCAAAGTCTCCATGGATCTCCGCGCTCGTTCTCCGCGCCGTACTTGTCGCTCGTCATCGCGCAGCTGGAAGGGCAGATAAAGATAGGTAGGTAGATAGATATCGTGCAGGTGTAACTGCGACTGCGACGAACCGAAATCGATCGGGGCAAGAAGGGAGGGGGGCTGACTCATTCTTTGTCCGCCGTCTGCATGTCTAATAGAACGTCGCTGTAAACACACGCGAGCGACGCAGAGAGACGCGCGTGTGTTGGTTCCGACGTCGACCGCTGTTCACGAACGGTCGCGCGCGGCACGTTTCCGCTTTATAATTTAACGGCGCCGCGCGCCGCGCCGGGAGGAAACGAGAAAGACAGGAAGGATACGCGGGAGAGGAAGAGTAAAAAGGGGAAAAGCTAGCGTGGAATGTCCAGAATACACGACGTTGCAGCGAAACGCTGCACAGAGCGCTCTGGTCGCACGCAGCCAGCTGCGCGCGATTCCGCGGATTCGAAAGTCTTGCGCGTCCTCGTTAATTATCTAATCCCGTCGTCCGTAGGAAACGACACCGAGCGAAAAATACGCGCACCGGCTGTGTGTGTGTGTGTGTGTTACGCAGCGTCGCCCCGCTGCATCGTCGCGAGCCGACACGTGTCGCCGTTAACCGAAAGCCCGAATATATTATATATTAAATTCTGCTCGCGGCCGAGTCAGCGGTGGTGATGGCACTTCTCCGTATTTGGGCGAAATTGCGAAAGTTTCGGAGTTATTCGTCTAATTACAAGTTCTGTCCGAAATTACACGCGATTACATCGGCCCGGTGAAAGCGACAACTTTTGCGTGAACGCGGTGAACGAAAATTGATGTTTCGCAAGCTGAGACTGCGGGTCTCTCTCTCTCTCTCTCTCTCTCTCTCTCTCTCTCTCTCTCTCTCTCTCTCTCTCTCTCTCTCTCTCTCTCTCTCTCTCTCTCTCTCTCTCTCTCTCTCTCTCCCTCGCTCGCTGTGCAACATTAATAATGCAATTGCAAGGAGGCTAATCTCGAGCTTATCAAAGAATCCGTCAATCAAGCTGCAGACGGGGGAACTTTTTATAACGCGAGAGATTGGCTCATTAGTTTCCCGACGAAGTCTCCGCGCACACGTCGTCTGTAACGCAAATATAAAATTAACACACAACTGAGAGGACCGTTAAAAACAAACGGGGAGAAAAAGGGAAGAAAAAAAGTACTTCCCCGGCGATAAATGTTTGGCGAGTACAAACGTGTCAGTTTTCCGTGACGTGCGACACATGCGAAATACATACGGAATTGATGTCAACAATGAGCACGAAATAATATTCACGGCAGTATAAATAATAATATGAATCGTCAACGATATAAATCGACTGCTTCGCGTCCGTCGATTGTGACATCCTGCTCCGCCTCGCGCACTCGCGGATGACGACGAGCGCAAAAAAGTCGCTCTCGTAATGCGGGACAAAAGTCAAGCGGGAAGCGTAAAAAGCCGCCGAGCCGCGAGCCTCGCTCGCGCCGACGCCGAGTTCGTTGCGCCTCGCCGCTTTCGTATTTGATGTTTCGCGCAATTGTATTTAATTAATTGCCGCGGTCAGTTAACACCCCGCCTCGCGTCTCCCGCCTCCCGCCTACCCGCCTCGCGGTATAAATATCACTTGATCCGCGCGCGGATGAACTCTAATTTTAAGCTCGTACGGAGTGGAGGAGAGAAAGCGCGGCGACTGCGGGAGATAAGATCGAGGTTTTAGATACGGAAGTACACGGTGCATCGATGAACAGGAAAACGAAGTGTAGCGTGCCGTAAAAACCGAGACGGAGGGAGCGCTATGCGCGTGTACGTGTACGTGCAAACGAGATCGCACAGGAAACGGGTCTGGAACTAGTGAAATTTTACGGCTCGAAAGGATAATAAGAGCGGACGCATCTCCAGCGCGGCGGCGTTACTCCAGCTTCTTCGCCGTGACAACCGGGGCCGGCAGGACTCTGCGCGAATATTATTTCCACGAGACTTGGAAGAGACTATTAGTAGTCCATTATTACGCGCGGATACACGGGGGAGCGCATCCTCGCTCCTGCGACGATTCTCCCCCGGAGGATCCTGAAACTTGCTGTTCCCGATAATAAGAACGCGGCTGTTACGAAACATATTTTTCTTTCGCTCAGCGCTCGCGATATAAATCTACATAATCCCCGATGCAGCGCACACGCGATATTACATTTAATAGAAGCGAGGATAAGCTTACCGGGGGCGAATACAAAATTTCATATTCCGCCGACACGCCTCGTAACGCGCTTTCCATGGAGCACGTTACGCTCTCGCGAAATTTTTCTCTTATCCAGCAATGAATCAAGCCGCTACGTTTTATCCGTCCGTTATATATCAGCGGGTCCCGGTGATTATATCGCTTGGATGCAAATAAGCGAACGATGATTATGAACATTTTATTACTCCTGAATTACACGAGCACGTCAATGTGCGCGCGCGCGCATACACACACACACACACACACACACACGGACGTGTATCGCGTTGGGCAACGCAATTACTTTTTAAAATAATATTTGCGTTCCACAGTCGCGCGAATTTTTCGTACTTTAAATATGATTCCACGAATCTCCGCCGGGACGTTTCTACGCACGTCGTACGCTTTTCATTTGCTTTTCCCCAGCGAGATACGATGGTTTAAAAATAAGCGAACGCTCACTCGATCCGAATCCGACATTGGATCTTCAATTTTCTGATAACCGCGGATGTGTACGTACGAGAGAGGGGGGAGGGAGGTACACACTGCCACTTCCTTAATAAAAATTTTATCGCGGTCATAATAGCGTAGTCCCTCGGAATGCTTAAGTATTCAATAAAACTGGATCCTCCGATACATAAATTCTTAGCTCGTCGCCCGAGTACACACGCTCGTTCGCTCGCATCTTCGGATTCCTCGACTTTATTCGATATTCAAATGCCAAGCGCTCACGGATCTTGCGTTATCAGACTTTCTCGATATTCGTGCGTCGTTGAATATTTAGGACCCCCGGAACGCGCCGCGCGATTCTCTTCTAATAACGAAATTGAATTCCCGCGAGCTCGCGACTTGAAATACGCCATCGAAACTCGAACTTCCCGCAACGAGCAACTTGGCCGCAGCGTTTTTCGTCTTCTCTACTTTTCTCTTTTTTCTCCTTCTTCCTTTCGCCCCCCCCCCTCCTCCCCTCTCTCTCACGAAACGCTCGGCTATTCGAAGCCGCGAGCTGCGTCACCGGCGGTAAATAAAGGGCGGTTGCATTAAATAATCGATACGACGACCTAACGATATCGACACGTTGCCGTTAATTCAATCCTGCCCGCCGCGCGGGACGCTATACACTTTCCCTATGCGGCAATCGAATATAATGGACCACGATCGATGGCTCTCGTAACGGAGAAAGCGCGCCCCGTTTCAAAGACGATCCCGATATCTCGCCTGCGAGATCGCGCTCCTTTGTTGGAGCAATTCCTTTCGGGAGAGTAACGCGCCCGTCCGTCCGCCTGCCGAAGTAACGGGTCTCTTCCTCTCTCTCTCTCTCTCTCTCTCTCTCTCTCTCTCTCTCTCTCTCTCTCTCTCTCTCGTGCGCGCGTGCAACCGAGCGCCGTGGAAAAAGAAACGTGAAAAATTGCCCACGGTTCGTCGTGGCGCGTGCACGCCGCTCCAAATCTGGGACAACTATATTTGTACCGGTCCGATGTGCGATTCCGATGCATCCAAGAAGCCGAGATAAGCCCGCGAAATTCATTGTAACCGAGCTGCATCGCACGCCGGGATCTCTCTCTCTCTCTCTCTCTCTCTCTCTTTCTATCGCTCTCGATGATGTTATCAGGCGGATTCACGTGTCGTCGCCGATCGGATAAACGTGAAGTGGGCGAATTAAGTGAAAGATTAAAATCAAATTAAACGTGTAAATACATATAAGGTGGAAAAAAAAAGATAGAAAGAGGAGGAAAGGGGCGGGAAGAGACGAGGGGAACGTGAGTGGACGGAGGAGAGGAGCTAAAGTTAAATATAAATCCAATTAAAAGTTTGCCTTTATACTCACGAATGAGCTACGTACTACTTACACGCTCGCTCCTCCGCTCTTCCACGGCGGTGAATTCGTAACGAAAGTAGCAGTTAGTTAGTAACTTTGCAATTTCGCTGTATCGACTGTGTGGTGCGGAAGAAAGTTAATAATAAATGTATTGTGTACATGCGAAATGGTAAAAGCGAGCCGCGCAATTAAATGCGAGTTCTTCGCATGTCGGTGATTTTTACAATTTCGAAACTCGGCTAGAGCTCGAGTTGAGAGAGAGAGAGAGAGAGAGAGAGAGCGCGAAAAGAAGAAAAAAAATTCTTGGCGATATATGTGTGTGTGTGTGTGTTTGTTTTGTTGCATGATACACGTGAAATTGTGTGGAAATGTTGCAGGATCTCTGTCATTACCAAGGCAGCGTTCGAGGTGTTCCCGAATCATGGGTGGCGTTATCCACTTGCAGAGGACTGCGCGGTGTCATTTTCGACGGCGAGAACCTCCATCACATCCATCCGGAAAACGAGAGCCTGGATTCCGACCATTACCTTTACAAGCACAGCGATCTCATTGCCAATCATACCTGCGGTAAGCGTCCCGCGATCCCACGATCATTACCACTCAATTGCCGCGTTCACACGTACGCAGCACACTTACGTGTGTGTGTGTGTGTGTGTGTGTGTGTGTATGTGTGTGTGTGTGTGTGTGTGTGTGAAAAGGACACGTGTGTACCCTTGTAATGTAAAAATTACTGCGAGGCTGGAATCATAAAATTTCCGTCCGGGTGGACGGAAATCAACATATGTAGCCGTCGTTGCAACGGTAATATTAATATTATTATTAATATACGTGCGAATATTAATAATAATAATAACATTAATATTGATGTTGTCATTAATATTAGCGCGTTGCCAAGTAACATTAATATTACATTCGTATTAACAGCGTTAACATCAATATTAATATCTCCGTACGTTAATTAAGCACGTTTTATTGACACTGCGCGCCGCCCGAGAGAGAGAGAGAGAGAGAGAGAGAGAGAGAGAGAAAGAGAGACAGAGAGGAGCTGCATAGCCCCGAGGAGGAGCCGGGATGATCGTTTCACCGGGAAGATACGCGACACACGCGTCACGGTGTTCACTTCAGCGAAACGAGTTGGTTTACACAAGCCGGATCCGCAACGGAGTCTCGTGACTAATAAGTTGACTCCGGACTTAACATTCATAACGCAACGCGTTCGTCCCGAGATCGTATCCGTCGTTGTTGCGGGGAATTTCTGTCGGTGGAACTTAGCCAGCGAGGCAATTTCCGCCGGGTTTCTTTGGGATATGCACGAGAGAGAGAACGAGAGAGAGAGAGAGAGAGAGAGAGAGAGAGAGAGAGAGAGAGAGAGAGAGAGAGAGAGAGCGCCTCCTCTCCCTTTTGCCGCTCTTCTCTTTCTCCCCGACTCTGGCAGAAACGCGCAACTTTCAGCAACGACGACGACGCGAAGGCGACCTCGGGCGCGCGCCCTCGTTCTTCTGCTCGCGGTAGCAGTGCCCTCGGCTGCGCTCCTCTCCTCTTTGAGGCACGCGCGCTCCGTTGCCGGACTCAAAGATCCACCTCGGAAAGACTGGTCTCTCCATAACGGTCTTAACGAATGTGAGAGCAAGACCCGGGGACGAGTCGCGGTGGCTCGCGAGAGGAGAGACTCTTTGTACCCCGTCGTTCCCGTAGCGGGCATCCACCTCATGTCGGCGATCGTCATCCCTGTTTGACGTTTTTCCTCGGTTGCAGGTTACGAAGGAACGCCGCATCATCATGTCTCCGCTCGCGATCATCACAAGATTCAAGAGCTCTCCAGGGTACGTATGGAGAACGGCGGAAAGATATTTCGCGAGAGGTCCGCTCTACACCCTCCGTCCCTCCTCCCTCCCTCCCTCCCTCCCTCCCTCCCGGTAAATTATACGACTTCAAAGAACGTAGTCACGGGTAGTCTCGTCTTGTGCATCTGCTCCGCCGGTGACTCGCCTGTGTACCGCGCTTTTTCCTCCCCGTCGTTTCTCACGTCTTTCCGTTTCTTTCATCCTCTTTGTTGTTGGTGAAATCGCGAGCAGACTTTCCTCTCCTGTACGGAACGAAACGACGAAAAGCGCGAATCAAAAGTCACGTACGCGTCGGTGATCGGGTCTACGGAGCTGCTTTGTGTTCGGCACGTAGACTTACAGAGGCGGTATTCTTACACTGGCGAATCTTACGTTTAGAATCGTCTCGAGTTCACCTTCTTCTGGTGCTGGACGCGAATCCGCCACGGGCTATTTGAAGATCAACTCGGCGATCTGAAACGTAAGCTTCGCGGTGTGAACACCGCCCTTAAACGAGTTCTTCTATCTTCTAATTATCGGCGGGTTCATTAGTATTAGAGACGAAGCAGCCGGCTCTTCAGACGGATCTATTTTCGTTTCATTCAATTCGGCGGTCTCCCGAGAAAAGATTGTCGGGCTTGTTGGGTGAGATGAGAAACCGACGTATTCTTGATGTGGCTTCGTTCTCCCTGTTATTCGCAGCATAAACGGATGGCTGAAGTTATTCGCGGGCCTTACAACGCCGACAAGAAGTCGCGTTACGTGGAGCTGGCGCTCGTGATCGACAAGAAAGAATACATCGCGCTGGATAAGAACCTCAACAAGGTGTATCAGCACTGCAAGGACATCGCCAACATTATCAACGCAGTGAGTATTATCGTTGCGACTTAATTGGTTACGTGATTCCCGTCGGCCGCAGACCGCAACGCGAGCGAGCGATTTCGAAACGAATGCGCAGCGACGCTGCATCCAACAACTGCATTATCCGATTGTTCGCGTCGAACATTCGCGGTTTCCTTTGGTCAAATCCGCTGAAGCTCAACTCTACTTATACCGGGAATTTTGCCTCATCCGCGCGCTGCTAATAAGCGCATAATTACATTCGACGTGTGAGTCTTCATTCGTTCGAAGAGGGATTCATTTGGTCGAAAAATTCCAATTCCCAGCGAGGTGGCTTTGATCTCATTATTATTATATAACCAGGTCCATGATCCACTTATCTCGTCTATGTCATTTACATTCCGAAAATTTTCTTCCTCTGGGGCGCGTCTTACCTCGCGATAAAATATCAGTTACAACAATAATAATAATAATAATAAAATATCAGTTATAATAATAAAATAACACTGTACTTTCTTCATATCAATACTCGTTTTTTAGATAGAAATGACAAGTTCTGCCGTTAAAATGACACATTGAGGCAATTTTTGTCAAGTGTTTACTCTCGAGCACTCACTTTGCCCAATTGTTCTCACACGGACAAGCGAGATCGCGAGGAATCTCAGTTCGATGCGCTCGCAACGCGTGGGAAAACGCGCGACGCATGTTTTCGCTCTTTTACGAGCTAGACAGGGGAATTAATTAGCGCGGGCTCGACCTCACCGCGAGATCTCCATGCGAAACAGCCCTGCGGACGTATCTCTGTGTGTGTGTTCGCAGCTGTACATGCCGTTGAACATATTCATCGCCCTGGTCGGCGTGCAGGTGTGGACCGAGTCGGACGAGATAGCGCTATCGCCGAACGGCGACACCACTCTGTCCAATTTCCTGCTCTACCGTAGGGAGAAGCTGCTCCTGGCTATGCCCAACGACAACGCGCAGCTGCTGACGTGAGTGTGCCAGCGAGAGCTTAGATATGGCCGAATGAGCGAGCAAAAGCTAGCTAGCTAGCTAGCTGGCTCGCTCGCTCGCTCGCTCGCTCGCTCGCCCGCCCGCGGTGCGCGAGCCGATCAAAGCGACTTCGTCAGCTCAATGAACATTTTTCAAACGAACAGCCGGATCACCTTCGACGGCGGTGTGGTCGGCAAGGCGCTCAAGGGTCCGATATGTACGTACCAGTTCTCCGGCGGTGTCTCCATGGATCACTCGAATGTCGTCGGTCTGGTCGCCGCCACAGTCGCTCATGAGATGGGCCATAATTTCGGGATGGAACACGACGGGCCGGATTGCAAGTGCCCCGAAGAGAAGTACGTCGTACGCAGCTTATTTCGCGACACTCGACGATCCATCGGGGTGGTCGAAATCTTCCGCGAGGCTCTTGGAAAGCGTCTGAAAAATCAATTCTCCCTGCGAAACGTTGTTACGCGACGCGCGTCGAATCGCTTGTTTCGCGCGTGCCGATAACGTTCGTGCATCTTGCAGATGCATAATGTCGTCGTCGAGCGGCTCGTCCGGGCCCACGCATTGGTCATCGTGCTCATTGGATCACCTGGCCCTCGCCTTCGAGCACGGGATGGACTATTGCCTGAGGAGCAAGCCGCAGAAGCTCTTCGACAGCCCGATCTGCGGCAACGGCTTCGTCGAGCCGGGCGAGCAGTGCGACTGCGGGCTGAAGGAGAATTGCGACAACCCTTGCTGCAACGCCATCACCTGCATGCTGCACAGCAACGCGAGCTGCGCCACCGGCAAATGCTGCGACCTGAAGACCTGCAAGCCGAAGAACGCCGGCACAGAATGCAGGAGCGCAGACAACGAGTGCGATCTGCCAGAATACTGCACCGGCCAGAGCGAGTATTGTCCAGGCGACGTTTTCAAGATCGACGGGGAGATGTGCCAAGAGGGCGAGGCCTATTGTTACCATGGTTCGTGCAGGACGCGCAACGACCAGTGCCAACTTCTGTGGGGCCCCAGCGGCGTGTCCTCTCCTACGCAGTGTTACAGTAGGCTGAACAAGCTGGGCACGGTTAAGGGTAACTGCGGTTACAACAAGGTCAATCTAACCTTCAGCAAGTGTAACGAAGAGTAAGTTGATTGCACGAACTAAGAGAGAGGAGGAATATTGAGTCAGTCAAAAAATTCGATTTCTCGAGTAAAATTTGACCTCTGATCTCGACGGAGACGAATCGCTCGGCAAAAAACGGGCAGCCACCTCGTCTCGTTTTTCTTTTACTTTCTACACCCTTCGTCGTGGTTCTGGCAAGATTCTTATACCTCGGCCGTAGAACAGATGGCCGATTTATCCTCGCAGAAAGCATTGCAAAGCAAACCGAATTTTCTGATTGACCCAACACCAACAAAGCGAGAAGCTGGACTCTCTTTCACCGAGCGCTTTCCGACGCGTTTGTAGAAACCTCCTGTGCGGTACGCTGCACTGCATACACTGGAACGAGCGACTGGAATTCGGCATGGAATCGGTCGCGAATCTATCTCATACGTTCATCAACATCAACAGAAAGATGACGCCGTGCCGCTCGGTCATCGTTGATCTCGGCTTGAACGAAATGGACCCTGGACTCACGCCGAACGGCGCCAAATGCGCGCCCGGGAAGGTAAAGCTCCATCGCTTACTTAAGATAACGCGACCGAGTTCCGTCGCTTTCCCACCACGTCAACGTGGTGGGAAACCCACGATAAGTCGTAACGACTTATTCATATTTGTGAAACACGATACGCCGCTGTCGCGCGACTATTGGATAATCGCGCTTTCTTCATGTTGCCTAGATGTGTGTGAATCAGAAGTGCATATCGATAGAGGATTTGAGAGCGTCCGTGCCTGGCGGTAAACATTGCCCCAACAGTTGCAACGGCAATGGAGTGTGCAACAGTCTCGGTCACTGCCACTGCAACCGTGGCTTCCGGGCGCCTGACTGCCTTCAGCCCGGATTCGGAGGATCCGAAGATAGCGGCCCAACGGAAGATCTTAACGGTGAGTATCTCGTGCAACACTCGAGTCTCTGATAACGTCTCTGTGGAAGCTGCTCTTCTCTCAGATAAAAATATCTCACCGCTGTCTCGTTGATATGCATAGAGACTCGCAACGCGTGCCATTCGGCGTCCTGAGCCTGAATTTCAAATCATGCGACAAACGCTGCTTCGACTCCGAACACGTTGTTACATTTACAACTAGACCTGAGCCCTGTGATTTGTTGATTTAATGAATTTAATAAATGCGACTGACTAATTAATATGTGACGTTAATACAATGACATGACGTGTGCATTTCGTGTGTTTTCAGCGAGAAACGACTTCGCCACCGTGCTTTACGTTATTTTCCTCGGAGTGGTACCCATTGTAGCGTTGGTGCTGCTCGGATTTTGGTACATGAGGAATTCCAAGCAACACTGGAAGAAGGGTGTGATATCTACGTACGTATTCAGTTTCGACTGTTTTAAAAAGAAACGCCATCCGCATGCTAGTAAGCCACTCGGTGTTCCTTCGTTAAAGACACGCTACATCTCGGATAGCAAATTCCTGCGAGTGATATCCTCCTATTTCGCGCCGAGGCAGAAGGACAGCTCTCGCGTGACGAACAAAGTGTTCATGATTAGTAACAGTGTTACGCTTAAAGAGCCGTTGCAGATAACAAAGACTGATTTAATATCCACCACTAATACGGACGCTATCAAGCATAGCAACAATATCGAGTACAGAAAGTCATTGTTATTCGACAAAGCGAGTCCGGACATTAGCGCGAAACCGCAAACGCAGGACGACGTCGCGACTCTCTCAATGCCCGACGTTGAAGTCCACTCGAGGAAGGCCGCTCCGTTCAAGTCGGAATTAAGTTCTTTAATATCGGAGCGTATCCAACAGTTACAGAAAAAGTCGCCTAAGAATGTCAAGGGACTTATGCTCAACACGGAGCTCAAGTTCGAGCACTTGAACGAGAGCCCGTGCACTACGTCCAACGACGGCTCAAAGTCGTCAGAGGTATTACTCAATAATACGAAAACACCCGCTCCGTTTTACAATAAAAAGCCACCACCTCCACCGGCACCCGATCGAAGTTTAAAGCCAAAGATCTGAACGATCTCTTGTTCCGTTGTGTAAATCAGGAATCTCGTCATGCGCGGACGCGCCACGTAAACATTTTACACATTGTTAGGGAGATTTGTTAATCTTGCGCAATGTAATGCTACGTGGAAATCGAATCTCTGTGTTCCGAAGAATCTCTCTGCAGTGATAAACAATTTTGTGAGTACCGAACGATATCTCGATGAAGGCATATTTTTCAGAACGTAGTTGCAGAAATCGAAGCAAATGCATCGTAGATCTTATCAATATGGGTGTTACGATAACGATTTCATTACGAGAGATGTATCTCTTAATTAAGTATAAATAGCACCAAGTATAGCACGTTTTTAAGGGCGATTTTATTCGACATAGTGCAAACATCGTAGCGCTTTTTTCCCACCAGCTATGATTTTTGCATTATAATGTACGGGGATTTACAAATGGTGGCGGTATATAGAAATGATACTTGGATATTACTGATGCCAAAATGCGATAAAGTAATTCCTACTGTGATTCCAACTGATAATAGTCGTAATAATATGCTCCGATGTATCGTTAGCCAAAATTATGATATTTTTACACAAATTAGGTGTCAAAAATGAGATTATAATAATTAAGAATGCAAATGAAGTTCTACTTTTTTCTTCTCTACATAAATATAACGTGTATCGTCTGTCGTGTTGTTGAATCTGTTAAGAACGGATTCTCTCTTATGTAATAAGTGTCACGAGAGATGGTTCTGTATGTATTAATTTCTTAGTCATTTTACGTTTATAATTTTTATTAACCTAACGCTTGGTTTCTAAACGGTTTGGACACTTCTCAATGCAGCTGGGAGTGTATTGTAAATGATCGAGACCATCCTGATACGTCCCTAACTTCATTGGAAAGAGCGCGCGCAAACCGTTGTTCAATCGAGTTTATTTTTTTTTTCGAATTTATTTTTTTTTTTTTCGAATTTACGATCGAATGTTAGTGCATAATTGGTCTTGGTGCAATATGATTGGTTTTTACGCGATCAATTTCGAATGTTGAAGAGTACACAAGTTTCAGTGAACAGTATTTTGTTCTCAGCTCGATGAGGGCTCTTGCTGAGAAATTCACTACTAAGGTTACTAATTACATGTATTACGTATCACGTAAGCAAAACGGAAGTTACAAGAAGATAAGCGCAACTTACATTGGCACGGTGTTAATATTTATCGCAACGTATCAATGCTCGTCACAAGAATTTGTCACACAACTCGGGTACACTTATACCTGTACGCTTTGTTTCTCTTTTCTTTCTCTTCTCACGATATTTTCGAATTATTAATTTGTCGGTAGTAATCATTAACTCGTTAAGACACACGCACGTTAAAGTTAACGTTAAACGCGAAACTAATGAAACCTTTCCGAGCAAAACTGTTCACTTTGAGGGCCAATGAAATTATCATATACGTGAAATTCATAAAGTCAATATTTTTCAAGCGAAAACACACATATTGCGCTATGTGAAGGCGGAGATTGTTGGCAGGAGATTGTTAGTAACGTAATAGAGCATGCGCAGAAGATTGTACTTACGTGGGCATGAAGCATGATTGAAGATTCTTTTCTTACTGGCTTTTGCATTTTACGGAAAACCGACAATTCAGCCGTTAAGTGAGAAACGTTTAAAAAGGGTCAGTTTTAACTGTTACTTAATATTATATTAATAATCAGTCTAAGAAACACTTAATTCTTATTAACGAGGTATCCCTCTCTTATTCTTTGCTCATTTCTGTATAAAAAGTATGAGGATGAGGAGCAGAGGATATAAAGACCAGAAAATCGAATGTTACTCATACTCGGACGAAACGAAATGTACGATTTTATTATTGAATAAATACGCAGTATCGACACGAAGTGTCTTTGAGTCTTCTTTTACAATCAACGATTTCCTTCTTCTCCATTGCTTGCTACTAACACTTTAATCTACAACTAACATCTCCCCCTGCGCGATTGTGTCTTGCCTTTGCATGCGTTTGGACTATTTCGGTGGACGGCTAGTTTGTCGAAAAGTGTCGGCGCACCGTTTCTTTCCCGGCCGTTGTCGATTAAACACGCAGAGGTGCATGTACCATTCACAGTATGTACCACGTTACTGCGAGACTACAATGTGTAGTCGACGAGCTTAAGATTCGCACAATCACCGTAGTACATTGTCTCAATAATTCGACAGATGTATCTCTCTCTCTCTCTCTCTCTCTCTCTCTCTCTCTCTCTCTCTCTCTCTCTCTCTCTCTCTCTCTCCCCCCCTCTCCCCCCCTCTCTCTCTCCCTCTCTCTCTCTCTCTCTCTCTCTCTCACACTTACTTTACTGTTCACATCCGCGATATCCGCGCGGAAGGAAGAATCACGCACATGTATCTCATTGTTTTAAATTAATGTCGAGCGAAGCGGAAAGTCAGCGCGAATACATTTATTAATCCGCTACGAAGCAACGTGTGTAATACTTAATGGTCGCTACGTTGCGTCATATAATCGCGCTTACCACCTCAGCTCCTCCGCTTATAATTCTGCTTCAACTTTCAGGACCGATCGCGGCCACAATGGGTTGCTAATCAAAACGATCGATCGTTCCAGTCCCATGTCCCGTAACATCGAGACGATCGACTCTAGTCTGAGTCAAGACCCGGCGTGCGCGAGCTTGCTGCCGAAGGCAGAGGCCGACGAGCGCTACAACAACAATCTATTCGGCCAGTTTAAGGGCTTCACGATCACGCCGATCCAGTCGAATCAGTCGAAGCTCGCGGAACCGACGAAGCCGGCCCCGGCACCGCCTACGATCCCCATCGTCGCGATAAAAACCAACGTGAAACCCCTGCAGAAGTGCGGCGCGCCGCCGCCGTCGCGCAGCAACAATCTGCTGATCGCGAACTTCAGCGACAACTCGGCCGCGCCGACCTTGCCGCCGCTGAACCCCGGCTCCACGGCGCGACCATTGATCAGCAGCCCGGTACTGGCAGCCACCACCTGCACGTCCGTCGAGCTGGTGGCTCCTAAAGTACCCACCCGACCCGCTCCGGAAGTGCCAACGCGCCCAGCTCCGGCACCGCCGGTCGTCGCTTCCACCGCTTCAGCTTTCGTTCCCACGAAGCCGCAGAGACCCAACAGTACGCCGCTGACGAACGTGATCGTGCCCACGATTGACCCCGGCGAGAAGAAGCCGGAGAGAGGCGGCACGCTCAACAGGATCGCGTCCATACTGCGCCCCAGCTCCGGGATCATGAGGAGCAATTCTCAGACGGACAAGAGCAGCACGAACTCATTGCCGAGAAGCCAGCATCACAAAGCCAACAAAGTGCTCGACAAGGAGATCCTGCGGAACCTGGAGATCTCGCATCCCATACCGCAGACGGAGATCGAGATCGCGGCGCCGGTGATCCCGGTGATATCGGCGGCTGATATCGAGAAGCGAAACGTGGTGCTGCGCGCGCAATCCATGAGGGACAGCAAGATCACCCCGCGCCCGGCTATCCACACGTTCGGCTCGATGCGCCAAGCGACACCCGCCAAGAGACCCACCAGCATCCCGACGAGCACGAGACCCACCTCGCCACCTCCGGGCCCGCCGACGGCCGTCGTGCACGCGGACAAGAACGCGGTCGAGAGCGCGATCAAGATCCCGGGGCTGCCCGGTTACCAGAACCCGCCGGTGAAGACCGGCGGCGCGGCCCAGCTGAAGCCGCTGGAGAACACCTACGACGACTGCATGAACCTGATCGCAGAGTCGTCCTTGACGAGGATCACGGAGGAGTCGCCTACGAACGACAATATCTACGCGGTGATAGAGGAGCCCGTGCCGGAGAAGAACAGGAAGAACGCGGAGCTGTCGGAGGCGTCGGCCGACAACGAATACAAACTGCCAAAGCGCGTGGACGCGACGCCCGGCACGAACAATCTCGAGTCGATGGGTCTGCTGTCGGAGATCGTATCTGAGATATCGAATCGCAACTTCGACTCCATATACTCTACCTCGACGTTAGCCAGGAAGAAGAAGGAGAAGAAAGAACAGGAGGAAGAGGAGGAGGAGGAAGAGGAGGAGGAGGAGGAGGAGGAGGAGGAAGAGGAAGGAGAAGAGGCGTCGAAGAACTCGGACAATATGGGCTCCAACAGCTCCTTGGGCGGCTACATGAATTCCAGCCACTACAAGACCCCCGGTGGAAGCGTTTACTCCAACTCGACGTCCGGTAAGTTCAACTCGTCGAGCTCCACTACCAGTTCCGGCTATCTCCACCCGTCCGCGATCAATGTGCCGCAAGTGCACAGGAAACAAGTGCCGAGCAAAGACACCTCGGATGCGAACGACAACCCGAAGCCGGCCGATAAGAGCAAGCTGAACACACTCAGCTCCAACAATCCCAATATAAACGACGAGCTGTCCAAGGAGCTCGGCATGAAGCCACCTGAGAACCCCATAGGGTACAAGCCGTTCGCATCGGCGAAGAGCCGGCCGACTCACTTGATACATATCAAAAAGGACGACCAAGCTGAAAGTAAAGTTCCGATCAAGCCGTCGTTGAGCAGGACTAAGACTCCTCCGAACATCGCCAAGAGCCCGACCGTCAAGGAGACGTCCGAGTCGAGCCTGAAGCTCGCCAGACAAAGTTCAGATAATACGTTAAAGTCGAGCAAGCAGCATCCCGACAACAACAGCGGCGCTGGCGGCGGTCTGTCGTCCTCAAGATCCTCCAAGTCGAGTACGACGACAGACGCGAGTCCGATCGCGCGGCAGACGCAGCTGAACCAAGTCAGCAAGTCCAACAGCGACCTGGATAAGGACGACTCGCATACGACCGTCAATAGCGTATCTGTCAAAAATGTGCCTTGTAGTCCTAAGAATAGTCTGAGCAAGTTCAATAGCCCGGACCTGGTCTCAAGCTGCTCCAACTCCAACCAGTGCGGCACCAAGTCGCCGGACGTTGTGGGTGGCAATCCCAAGTTCAGTCTCTCGTTGAAGACCATTCAAAAGGCGCCCACGCTGCCGAAGGGCGCCAAAACGCCGACGACGCCGTTGAAACCTTCGACCATCACGTGCAAAGCGACCGGTCTGTCGGAGAGGAAGAAGTCGCCGACTGGTAACGCGAGCATCGCCAAGTCGTCGCCGACGTCCGCCAAGGAGGCGATGACGGTCGCCAACAAACTGACATCGCACCTGGCGTCGAAGGTGGCTGCCAAAACGGAGACCAAGAACGCAGATGGCAACGGCGCGAAGATGAATCCGGTGCAGCGGGCGGCGAGCGGTAAATCCAACGTGGCGTCGTTGCAGCAGAAGTTCGAAGCTAACAAGAACATCGCTGGTATCGCGAGGACTATACCGAGCGCGAATAAAAAACCGGTAGCGATGACGGCGGCACGAGCGACGGAAGTAAGCGGCGGCGGCGGCGCGAGAAAGTGAATATCAATCTCCCGCGGCAGAGAGGAAAAACGAAGGGAAAATCTCTATACTTGAAACATTCTAGTCCGTCATTTCATTCTCGTTTAGGAGAATACGAAACTGTATAAACGGGTAAACGCGTTCGTACTGCCGATTGTCAGCGGCCGATTGTCGCGCGGGTATAAACGTGGTTACGCGCGAGGGCGATGTCTTTCTGACTTGTTACTCTAAGGCAGTCGGTCCGTAGGCCCGTTTCCTCAGGAATCTACGATTACAACAGCGTATTCATGGTAACGTCACGATCTACACACATGGGCAACTAGAAAAAGATTAACCGCGACCGAACCGCTGGGGCAATTGAAAAAAATCAAAAGCTTAGCACATTAAAATTATATTACGTATATGGATCGCTAGTATAAAAACTGTGGTAAAGATTTACCCTTATTTACCCCCGCGCCGATAATCTTGACCTTGACATACGACCATAGACGTATAATAAATAGACCGCGCGTTCAGCGGAGGGGGCCTTCTATATTCGATAGAGACAACATGCTTTCGTTGAGCAATCTATCGCTTTCTAACGATGCGTGATGGGAGTAAAGCAGTCTTCCGTGACAGGGGAAGCAGAAGTAGGAGAATATAGAGAAAGGGGAATTGTGAGAGGCAAAGAGAAGAAAATACGTCTGACATAAGTACACGCATATGGAAAAATGATGAATATGGACATATGACGATGGGTATAATTACATACCGGTGGAAAATAATCTGTTTGTCACTTTTATATGCATTACTGCGGCATACACAACAATATAGACTCGTTGTGTTACGATTATACTTTTTGTGTTATGATTATTATACTATTATGAGTAAATACGTTTTATAATCTTTAATGTTAATCGTCTTGTTTACATACGCTTTGTTTCACGAAAAGAAGGAGAACCGGAGACATAACACTCCGCTCTAAACAGGCGGAGGGGCCAAATACCCCACCACGCATCGTTAGAAAGAAGCAGAGTGCTCTACGAAAGCATGCTACCTCTCTCTCTAATATTGAACATGTGCAGACAAAGGAAACGTTGCGAATGCGCGGTCTATATATTATATGTCTATGCATACGACATACTCGTATTTTATCAAGGACACCTTCCTGAGTATCAATCAAAAGGTTTTAGCCGTCGCTCATTGCTTATTAAAAAATAATTAACAAAAGAAATTTCATAAATAGAATGTAATTTTCCAACACATATTTAAGGAATGAGCACATGTTATACATGTCCTATACATGAATATATTCATCGTACTACTGACCTTCAAAACTTCATCTGTTCTTTTCAGTCGCAAAAAATTTTTTTGATAATTATGCAGAAATAGGGACCACCTCTCGATGTCAATAATTTTCACATATGTTATCAAGTTTCTGTAATGAGTAATGGTCTGAAAGTTTTAACTCGCGCTCATTGTTTATAACAAAGTTATGAACAAATGAAGTTTCATAAATTTTTCCATACAGTTAATCCAAACACAGTGTATATATAGAAATGTAGGAAACAGTACATATAAGCGGGAGAGGGGCTTCGCCTCCCCGAATAAATCCTAACCTAACTTAACTTATTGCATCTTTATATGAAAAGATTTCCCTAAAAACCTACAACACCTAATTGCATGCAGATATAATAAATTAAATTGGGTTAGGTGATAGATGTTAAGAGAACTTGTTCAATAATGTCCAAAAATATATAAAGATGCAATAAGTTAGGTTGATAATAACAATAAGAGGGCGAAGCCTCTCTCCCGCTTATATGTACTGTTTAACATTGTTTACTGTATATTGTGTCTATGTACACAGTGTCGGAAAATTACATTCTATTTATGAAATTTCTTTTGTTAATCATTTTTTAATAAACAATGAGCGACGGCTAAAACCTTTTGATTGATCTCAGGAAGATGTCCTTGATAAAATATGTGATGGTCATCGGCGGGAGGTGAGTAAGGGTAAATCTTTACCAAAACTGTTTCCGATGTCACGTTCTTTTTTTAATTCTAGCGACCAAACTATTATTGCGCTTTTGATGAAAAACGATAGGACGGTACAAGAGGCTTGTGGAAATATAAAAAAATTACGATATCGTTCGTCTGGTTTTCAAGAAATTGATACGTAAATTATTTTAGCGCACGTACGATAGCTTGTCAATTTTCTTCTTCGTGTTGTTGTACAACCATTATCCTTTCGACAGTATTGTTACGGACTAACTACCTTAAGGATCCTAAAAAACAAAAAAGGAAACAGGACGCGGAAGCTGAAAGATAGTACAAGGATTGACTTTTTTCCCCTCTAAAATCCATAGAAGGCAAATTTTACGAACGAAATATTATATATTTCTTGTCAGGATACTAGAATACATAGGCGCATTGATAATAATGGCCGTCGCGACACACATAGGAGACACGGCATTGAGAAGAATTGTGTAAATAGTATACCCACTTAAAAATTCTCGTATTTTTTGTAGAGACACATCCATTGCCGACGTTCGAGCGTAAGCGTGTAAGCCAATAATAATTACCGTAATATTTATCGTAAGCATTTTATAAGCGATATTGTGAAGTAAGTGACATTATTTTCGAGACCTTCGCTTAAAAACCGAAAGGACATGTACGAAATTATTGACCTCTGTGATATGTATGTGTATAAAGAGATATTGTGCACAGAAAAAGAAAGAAATAATAATACTATATACGCCACATTGTTACGACTAGCGGGCTATAGATGCGACCAAATTATTTTATACCGTGATTACATGAGCAAATTGTGCATGGGGAAAACTCGCGTGTCGTTAAGTTGGAAGGAAGCCATCGGACGAATGAGCCGTGCCGTCGTGAAGTCGTCGCGTTCGCGTGTCCGATGGACGTCAAGTCCTACATTAACGCCCGGGGTGTGTCCCTTTTTCTCCAGAGATCGACGATGTAAAATTCACAATCACAAACGCAAGTCGTGTACCTTCGAGATTCCGTGGGAGTCAAAATTCGAAAATGCCATTAGTTAGGAGAGTCTAGATATTAGCACGTGTAAAAAGAGAAGAAGAGAGGAAAACGCTAGTGACGTAACGCCGCAAAATTCGACAGAGCTAAAGGTGATATTCTTTCAAGAGAATTTTAAAGTAAGAATCCCCGTTGCAAAAACCAAGTGTCAACGTGTATTTTGCCTCAGTCGCATGCAGCACATCACACGCATCGTCTTTACTTTTTTTCTCGTCGTCCTCCTGTGCGCGTAACTCGATGAAAGAAAAGAAAGAGAAAAAAAAAAGAAGAAAACGAAGTCGCTTGCTTCTTCGTCTATAAAGCCGCGCTAGAGATGCAAAGACTAAGAAAAAGAAAAAAAAAACAAAAATATTTATTTGACTGATCCGTGTAAATATGTTGTTCATAAGGATAAGCATAGGGCTAAGTGACGTTTTGTACAATGTACCTTCGCGCTGGATAAGTTAAGTTGTAAGTTATTTCTCCTCTTGAGACTCGCACGATCCTTGAGAAGGGGAGTGTGCGGACCCACATCATCCTCGTCGATTGACTCGACGACAAGGATTCTCGACGTGACTCGTCGCCATCCGCACATATTTGGCTCTCAAAGAGCGTCCGCGCGAACGGCCGGACGAAACATTCTCCGAGGATCGCACGAGGGTCGTAACGCATTGTGTTCGTGTGCGAGCGCGAGAAATGGTTCCGATACTTGTCGAGTATCGAGGATCTATTGTTTTCACGTCGGCGGACTCGCGTGAGGAAAGCTTCAGTTGAACTGCTATTAGTCGGCTATGTGTTCGTGCATTTATTTTTTACGAAGAAAGGCAGCCGTTCCTCCCAACCCTCGGCAGCGCGTGTCTCGCGTACACACGAATCCTGCGGCGAGTTGCGCGGATTCGTTGGTGTTCATCAGCTCACTTCGTCAGCTGACAGTTCCTACGCGCGAGCGTTCAGACAGAGGTCGTCCTATTACTATGTGAAATTCAATTGAGGTTCAATCAAGCTTTTTGACTGTTCATTCGCGCGTCTCTCTATGTGGGGGTGTGTGTGTGTGTGTGTGTGTGTGTGTGTGTGTGTGTATACTTGTATATGCATACGCGCGCGCGTGTATATATGCGTGTCGTGCGTTGCCTTTGCTGCTTATTTTTCCGTACGTGATGTAACGTCGTATGTGTTTGCTTCATCACGAGGACAATCAGACATTCGTTTAGCGTACGCTATTTGAGGAAGAGAAAGGAGGAAGAAGGAAGGGGAGGAGGAGAAAGAGGAAACTTGCTTTAGCGGCGCCTGTTCGCGTTTATTAATGAATAAGTAATGTACTCGTAAGAACGCGACTCTTTGAAAGAGAGGAGGAAGAAAAAGGAGAAAAAGGAGGAAAGGATAAAAAAAGAAAAAAATGTTATTAAACACCATTAAAATGCAACGAGAGAACGGCCGTCTCTTCGTCAATTGCTTTACCGTAAATATAACGAGGAATATTCGAGAGAGAGAGAGAAGGGGAGGGGGAGCGAGAGAGAAAATTGGCACGTGGAAATTTGGCATACAACGATCGCACACGGGCGGTATATGTATGTACAGCCTATGTAACGATGTATCGGTACGGATTGGGTTACAACGCTTTGTCTTACACCGTCTAGTAGATATAAAAAAAGGGAAACCACGCGGCGCTCTCAGCATTGTCGCGCGCGCGTATGCATTATATTGTACATTCGGTACCAAAGATAAGTAGCATCTTACCTTATGACACACACTGCTGAGATAAGTACTACAATAATTGCGTAGCCGTCGGTTTACGATAATATGTACATTACCTAAAACCATAATGATGTTACAATAAAGTCTTTATTCCAATTATAAACACTATCCCGCCGTTATGCGTTGATCTGTTCTTCTCAGCTGAACTAACGGCACCGCTTGGTTCCTGTATTTATTTTGCTATTTATTTCGCTCAACGAGCAAACAGTGCAATCTAATTCGGCTGAAAAGAATGGTATATCGTGTGTCTATATTGTTGAAACGATCTTAAAATGGAGGAGATCTTAAATCGCGCACATTTGGGAGTGAGATTTTCTCGATGATTTATCAAAACTCTTAGCCTGATCAGCCTGATTTTGTACAAAGCAAATTCTGTGTACTGTTTGTGAAAGCAGCGTCATGCACGAGAGAGAGAGAGAGAGAAAGCCAACAAACATAATGACGGATTAATGACGTCATTAGAAAAAATATGTAAAATATATGGAAAAAACACTTAGTCGAGGTGTGTCACAAGTATGCGATGAGAAACAGTTCCTGGAGATCCACAATTTCTGGGAAGAAGAATCAGAAGTGTGCGTGACGTATTCTTACGTTTATCGATCCCAGACAAACTCAATATATCATCTATTAATGACGTTAATCAGATTTGCTGGGGATCGATGAATGCATATATTTTTAACTTATCTTCCCCCTCCCTGAAGTTGTAACATCTTGAAATCCTTTTTTATCGCATATTTGTAACACACTCCGAGTAATTATTTGTTTCGATTTATTTTAGTATATTTTCTTTATACATTCTCTCCACATCTCTTTTCTTTCATCGCATTTCATCTCGGACGTGAAGTCGATGTGACTCGTTGAAAACCGAAAATACCTCGATGTTCGAGCCTTCCAGTTAGAGAACGAAAAAACGAACAGCGAAAAGAAAGTGCGGAGAAACGCCAATGGAAGAAACCAGGCGGACGACCGAAGCGAGAAAGAAGAAAATCGTGAAAAAAAAGATGAGAAAAGTTAGACTGTTCGAAAGCATCATCACCCAAAGTTGATCGAAGGCGGGGCGATGTGCGCATGCGCGGAGTACGTAGCACGCTGATGCGGTTTGTCAATGGCCACCGTTCCTGTCAAAAGCGTTTTGCGCGACTAGCTTACGTGTTTCTCATTGTGTTCTCATACTCGCAATCATTAGATTAATTACAAAACATCACAAAACTCTGCGAACTCACGACCACGTGCGGTCGAATAAACGAAGCGGCCGAATTCGCAGGCAAATTTCGTTTAAGCGGCCGACTGGTATATTTCTACGCGCTTACCGTGCTTGTCCGGAAAACAAATCGACCCCTTCGAGCGAAAGCGAAGAAAACCATCGTTGTGAGACGTTCGCAGTAAATTCCATCGAGGCGTCGTTCTTGAAAGTACAACATCTGCTAATTTCGAACTTGAGTGAGAAACGTAAGGAGAATCGATTTGGTAAGTACGTCCGCGAATTGGCGCGTCCATGTATTGCACAGGAGTATTCAATGTAGCAGAGAGCTTCGACTGTCTAAATTCGACTGTCTAAAACTAACCTATTTCCTGCTACGTGATAGTGAAGTGTAGAATGTGATGTGTGTTAAATGTTGCTACGTAACATGATCATTGGCTGAATGTATATAAGTAAACCTGGGTTTAATGACAACTGATAATTTGGGGATTTTGATTCGAGGATTTGCGCGCGAAACTTGATTTATGTTTTGACTGAATTTTACCTATTATTCATTAATTTTCTCTTTCTCTGCAGTGATTTATTGAGTCCTCTACTATTTGATATGGTGAAGATACAATATACGACGCTTGACGCCGACGTCATGCCATCAAACAAGTCCAACATGTGTCCAGATTATTTATCAAAATCCATCAAAATATTGAAGGTAAACTGTACTATATGTAATAGAAATAGTATTAAGAGAAAAAAAGAAATAAACACTTGACCTGTATTCATAGTCAGGCCTTATATTTAAGACTTCTTTAAGTTTATCTTCAGATGGTCTGTAGCCAATAAAACAATCCGTGCAACATCTAAAGATGGATATAATGAGTCCTCAGATATAAGGCCTGACTATGAATATGGGTAAAAGGCATCCTTTTAACAAAAGCATCTAATCTCTATTCTTGTCATATTAGACAACTTCAGAAGATACTGATTGACTAATATTGTTTATTGTTTACAGTGGATGTCGTCAGTTCCAGTCAAAAAACATTTCACAATGGATCCAGGCGAATGTCTTTTACCTGCAAAGGTTATGCAAAATTCTAAGAGAGAATTTGGCATTGGAAATTGTGTGGAAAGTGGTGTGAACAATGTGAAAAAAGACTTGATTAATAATAATATGAAAGAATTCCTTTCTAAATCATTATCTGTAATAAATATAAACATGCCAGATGAAGAGTCAGAAGAGGCAAACTTGTTGCCCTCCAAGAAAGAGAACATAAGATCAGAAATCACTCTTTTTCCTATTAAACCAAAATCATGTGGTTGTTCTGAACCATGTGAGATTATTACTTGTGAAATAACAATACCATTGTATGTGGACGAGGATGAGGTGCCATTTATATTAGCGATGAACATTAAAGAGGAAGAGATAGATACATTGGTTACAAAGCACTGCGATGATGAATATTGTGATGCACTGAGCATCGACCATGATCGTTGCCGCAGAGGATTAATCAAGTTGTATAGATGCGATAAGTTCAATACGTGTGATATTTGTAGGACACCCCTAAATTGGCAGTCGCGTCTGCACCATCAAGAATGTGAGATGAAAGATAAATATAGGCACAACAATGTGAGCAAAGAATGTCTGTTGAAGGATAGACTTTGTTTGCAAGAAATGCAGATATTGAAAGACTCAAAAGTAAGGAGAAAAGTTTATCTGGACCCTATCAAAGGGCCTGCTCTGGCATTGGAAGCCATACAGAATAACAAGGAGCTAGTAGTCAAAGTACTTCCAACGACGACACCAGATCAGAAATCAATTGTTCCAACAACCACAGTATCCGACAACCATCAGTTAACTTGTATCACTTCGTCCGATATTAATCAGTCTGTCGCAGCCAATTCTCAAATGAGCAGTCCAAAGAATATCGTCAGTAGCTTGATCGCGATACCTCTTAACAAGCCCGCGCTCTCTTCGAACGGTACGTCGTTGCGTCTGAAGGAAAACATAGCGCAGCAGACTAATTCGATATTGTTGTCAAACGCGCAACCGAATACGTACATCGTGACGTCCTCCGGTAAGGCTTGTACAGCAGGTGTACTTCCACAGAATCAATACATTTGCCTCGCGAACTCGACTGCCACAATTCTGCCTACAACAACCAACAACTTGATTGTACCACAGTCTCACATTGTGACGAGCTCATCGACCCAACCTAAACCGCAGTTACTAACGCCGATACGTGTAGTGCCAATAACCAAGCTGAGGACAGCACCTTCTCTGCTACATCGTCAACAGGGCCTCCCCAAATTTTGCGTCATGACGAGCAACGCAATCACTACGCTGACCGTGCCGAGTGTACAGACCTTCCAACCTGTCGTAGCTGCCGACGTCACCACGCAAGAACAGATTCGTAAACAGGCTCTAAAGATTCGTCCGAAGATTCTGACAGATATGTCCAAGGTATCGACTTCTACACAGGAGCGATATAGTTTTCAACGATACTTGAAGAGACCCGGAAAACGGTTTTTCTGTATCTACTGCTGTAAATACTTCAGCACCGACTGGTACTTCAAGAAGCACATCGAGAAACATGTGAAGCAGAAAGACACTCCCAGAATTTCCTCCAGATCTGTTGGCGTTAAGAACAATATGAAGAAGCAGCCGAATAAGAAATGCGACGTTCAGAAGGAACTCTGCCACGGCGACTCGGCCTGCGACTCGCCTACTTCGCTCAATAGTTCCGTGGACAGGACAAATAGTGAATTGAAGGCGCCCCAACCGCCTATAAAACTCGAATATGTCGATGTCGATTGCTGCGATGAGGACTCTGTAGGCGAAACGAATGATCATATGGCGAGTGTTAACGAGTCCAATGAAGTGGGAGGAAAGAGAATAAAATGCGAAGAGACGTTCGACACTTGGAACGAAAATCTAGAAATATCTAAAAACGATATTAATATAGAAGTGCAAGACGATGTCGATCCTCTCAAAGATATATCCGTGCAGGAGTACGATGTCGAAGAGTCGTTGATATTCAACAGAAACTGTAATGCGAAGGAAAACGAGTTTACAATTGTCTCTGTAGAAGAAATCACCAAGAGCGAAAATCTTATGAAGAAAAAAGTTAACGCTCCGAGATGAAAGCATACAGTGTGTCGTGTTGTTAATACTTCCGAATATTGTATATCAAACGGAATTTGTAAATATGGTGATATATCACACACAAATACAAACCAAAAAATTTTAGTTACAATTATTAACGTAGTCCTGAGTAGGACGAGACTAAATTGTACATGTATAAATATAAATTATGTATATAATTTAAATTTATACACGTTGCATACACATACGTGAAACTTTATGTCCTCAGTTGCTCCTGTGTAGTTTGAGAACATGAAGTCGAAATATTTTTATTAATATATTACATTCCTATATTCTTATATTAAGAATGTACATAGTATGAATAATTTAATATATTTTAATATAATTGGACGACGAATAATGTAGAATGGAATGAGAATGGAATATTATCTTTTGTAATACAATTAACGTATATAGTTCATGATTATGTGAAGGTTGAAAGAAGTTGTCATGGTCTATTTTCGATAGAAGTCACAATTTTAATGATGAAAACTTTGTTGTTAAGTAATATATTCATTTAAAAAAGAGCTTAAAAGGCGGAGTTTAAACATTTCGAAGATAAAATTGGTTTTACACTTTCGATTTTGTTACAAATATTGTTAATTGTAAATTTCATCTATTTCTGTTCAACAATATCTTACGTGAAGACGCTTACGAAACATTTCAAAACATTCGTGATGCAATGCATTACACAATCATATATTATAAAATTCTTTTTTTTTTTTTTCATTTAATATAACAGTTCGTTGAATTGATTACGAGTCATTGGAACATGTGAACATTATTCAAAAAAATGTCATCAAATATTTCTTATTTACACATTAGGCCTGTTCGTTTTGTCTACACTGCTGAACTAGTGCATTAAGTTAAAGTGAGTGACAAACGTAGGTTTTCTCATTTCAACTTGGTGCACCAGTTCAGCAATGCAGACAAAACGAACAGACCTATTGTATTCTTCAAAAAAGTGTAAAACAAATTACAGTCAACGGTCATATCACGCTGAAAACACCAGTTCTCGTTCGATCACTGCAGTTAAGCAGCATTGGGCATGGTTAGTACTTGGATGGAGATAACTACTTGGGAACACCGCGTACTGTTGGCGTTCATTTTAAGACTTCGCATCTTGTGCGTGTAAAACAAGTTACAACCAGCAGTATAAAATGTGATTTTTATCTTACGTTATATTTCTTCATCCAAAGAAAATGTTTTTTACAGTACATCGGAAATATGACAAATTGCGTTCTTTCTATTGTGATATAAATATATATACGCAAGAAAAATGTTCATATTATTTTATTATTGTTTTATTTTAATGTTTGAGTAGTTCATCAGAGGCAAGCATTTTTAAGCATATTTAAGACACATTTTAAAAACGAGTCAAAACGAGTATTGAACGAAACGAATATTGAATATTGTTGAGTTAAAGATTGTTTTCTTAAAAATCGAATATTTTAAATTCAGTGGATATTGTCTTCATCTAAAGAAAATAAGAATCTACAAACTATTTATTGTAAATTAAACGATGTAAAACTGTGGAATATTTTTGATGGTAAATAATAACTTCCCAGACAACATAATGCCCAAAATCAAGACATAAAACATCTTTAAGACATCTTTGAGTCGTCTTAAAGATGTTTTATACAATGACATCTTACGACTGTAGACGACTTAAAGATGTTTTATGTCCCGATTTTGGACATTGTGTTGTCCGGATTACATCATGATATCTCATAAAAAACAATGTAAAGTGTTCTATTCTACTACTAGAATGTAAATGTGTATAAGATAACAATGTTTAATGGTATAAATAATGTTCCTGAATGTGAAAGATTAATGAAATATTGTGTGCCTTGCTGTATCCCAGATATATTTTTGCCGATATAGTCATATTTATTTTTTTATAGACTTATGGAAATATAATGTTTGTGCAGAAATCAAATCTGTTGGATTATGGTTTTTATATTTTCCACTAGTATTAGTGAGAATATGTTCACGGTGCAACTTCTAAAATTCAGTACAAATATGTCAACCATTGTTGCACGTTTATTATTGTTAAATTAATTTCAACATTTAAGTAACGAGCAAATTTAATGTATCATGCTCATAAGACACACATGTTAATAATGTTTAGATATTTTAATTCATGAATTATATATAGTGTTTGTTATAAAATAAATTGTAGAAGTTTCTTTTACTGTTTTATAATATTGTAATATACAAATTACAATAACAAACTTACAATTCAAAAATATAAAAAACGACAATATATCATTACTAGTTTCATAATGACACAGAAATATTAATTCTTGATTCACGAGGTATTGATTCTGTTTCGAATATCTGAGACATCTGATGTAACTAAAAACTCTGCTCTGTATTTTTTTACATGTTAATATTTGTATTAAAAATTTATGAATAAAATTTTTCTTTTGGCAACAGTTTCTTATGTATGTATGTATGAATTGCACAAAACTATAAAGTACAAATAAGATATTATAAAACTTGATCTTGATATAAACATAAGAAAAATGTTACAAAGAATAGTTATACCGATCGTATTTAATTTTGATTAAATAATTTGTTATATAAAAGTTTAAGGATCAAAACATCTATATATTTTATACAAAAGTTTGTTTATTCATATAAAAGTATATATATACTTATATATATACTTTAATATTGAGAGTAGCTTAAGTCTTAATAGCACAAATCATATTCGGTCTAAAGCTTCTAGCATTATGACACTGTTTCCACGAATTACCTAGAAATATACAACTGATCTATAATATTGATTTTTGATGGTGATGTTATACCAATTGACAAACTTTCAATGTATATAATTTATTCTTTGTATGTTACAATATAACTTACCACCATACCAATGTTGTTTTTGGTGCCATCCTTGCATTCCTCTACAGTTTCATCTATAACCATGTTCATGAATGGATCAAAACCTCTCAATATGCCGGTGACATGCCGTCCCGCGTTTAATTTCACTGTAAAATATTTCAAACACAGTCAAAACAAAAAGAAAATAATACTTTAACCTAACTTCAAATCAAATTCCAAAATAACATTTAACATACATTATTAATGACATTAACATTGTCATGATGTATAATACTTACGAGATAACTTTTTATCCATATATCTGGAACAAATTGAGAAGTATTAATATAGAAAAATAAAGTACTTTATACTAAAAAATTCATTGAGTGATATTGCCAAAGGTTATATCGCAAAATGAAAAGGACCGCTTACTTTTTGAGCTCCGGTGGATGTGCTTTGCTCATTTTGGACTATAGTAATTACGATCTTTTACGTTTATCACTCTAAAAATATTGTTTTGTCCATGCACTCTATCACGCAAGTACAGTGTACACCGGCTAAATAATTTCCTTCCCTCTAAAAGTTTATGCAAGCTGATACTAGGGAGATTCTCTCTCTCTCTCTCTCTCTCTCTCTCTCTCTCTCTTTCTCTTTAATACTCACTCTCCCAATCTTGGCTGCAGGCGCCTATTGGCTAAGGCGAATTCCTCAACGCCATAGTATAACAAGTTGTCCAATTAAAAACTTGAATCAGAGAATCTGATTGATGTTTTCAAGAAATTCCCTGACAGATTCAAAAGTTTAAATTTGTTTTTTGTCTCGCCGGTGAGAGCTACTTCTTCAGTGATAGAGCTCAGCCAAGACTCGCAATTTACCGGCCTCCGTGAAGTTAGCCGAGACTCGAACCACAATTTACCGGCCTCTTTAAAATTTAGCTGAGACTCGAACCCCATTTTACCTGGAAACGTCGTCGCATCTTATTTCACATTAAACAATCAAAATTTGTGTCGTGAGAAATTGCAAGCGAAAATATACAGGAATGTCGCAGCAAGAATCTACACCGTATGATCTGGCATATCGTGGCAAAACTGCGGCCGTGAAGATTCTGCTAAACGAAAATGAGAAGCTGAAAACACAAACGGATAATGTTTGTATCATCATGGCACTAATCATTCGCTCATGACGTCTACACTATTTGAGGTTAGCTCATGAGGCTAGCATTTTCCTTGCAGAACGGTCGAATGCTGATACACTGGGCGGCGCTGGGTGGTCACGATGACCTGGTTCGGCATTTACTCTCTCTCGATGTACCGGTGAATCCCACGGATGACGTAAGCGAATCATCGCATGCTAAATAAGCGCAAAATTTTGAATATCTCGTACCGAAAAAATATTCTATCCTTTTATAGTTACGTTTCAAATTAAATCACAATTATTACAAACGTAATAATCGACAACACGCTCAACGGAAGTGATTTAATTTTACACGCGAAGTTATATGCAACTGTGAAAAGAACTTTTATTATCAAAATACATTATTATATAAAATATTTGATGGTTACGAATTTTTCTGTTACGCTACGAGGGAGTGTATTTTATGTTTAAATCTGTCCTCGTGTATATCGAAAAAAGCGTCCAATACGTCTCGACAAAAATCGTCAAAATTTGCGATGATGTCCCTTGATTTGCGGCCAATTAAAAGAAAAGAAAGAAAAAAGAAAAAAAGACACTTAAAGAGTAAACCTGATCGAACGAAACCGTAGAAAACGCAATCAATGCTTTACAATAATTCCCCTCGCTGCCCCGTTCTCTCAATCGATCGGAATAAAGAAACGATTGCAAACGCATCGAAAGAAAGATGGAAATCTTAATAACACATACACACACTTGAGAGATGACATATAATTATATTATAATTTTTCGTTTCCATAGATCATTTATAAGAAAAAAGAAAAAGAAAAACTTATAAGAAAATAAGTATAAAGCGAACGCGCGCGCGCGCGCACGCTCAAGATGCATCGCGCACATCATGTTACAATCCGCATTACTTATAGTCTCGTTTGCCGTTTTCTACGCGTGACGCACAAAGTCGCGTGAAGAAAGCTTCGTTTCCGTGTTCGTTTGCCAGGCCGGCCGGTAAGCTCCTCGAGGCCTACTACGGGAGACGGGAGACAAGTCTATACGTAAAAACCGCTGAAACACGGCCTATCCGTAAAACGCAGACAGACATGACTCCGCTGATCCTGGCTGCGTCCGCCGGTCGCGAGAAGGTCGTCAACACGCTGCTGAACGAGGGGGCGAACGTGAACGCGACAACGGTCGACGGCCACTCGGCTCTACAGTACGCCGCGTCGAAGAATTGGAAGTCCATCTGCGTGGCGTTGCTCGAGAAGGACGCCGACGTCAACATCGCGGACAAACGAGGCGCCACGCCTCTGCACAGGTCCGCCTCAAAGGGCAACACGGCCATCGTGAAGCTCCTCATAGAGTACGGGAAGAGTTTGAATATAGGTGGGTAGCGGAATATGCGTCTCCCTGTGTGTATGTGTGTACGTGTGTGTTGGTTGTGTAAAATGTCTGGAGACTCTCCATTTAGTAACGCGAAGCATCGTAAGCGTCATTCTCTCTCTTGTCTCATATTCAATGAGTAACAAAGAGATAGGATGATGCTTCTCTCAGCTTGTATCGCTAAATATAAAGCACTCGATGTTGTGCTTCATGCATGTGTATGTGTGTTGTAGCGGTGTGTGTGTCCGTAATGAAATGCACTCGCGCACGCGGCGCGATTACAGTATAATAATATATAAAATATCAAATATATATACATATATATATACATATATATATATATATATATATTTGCGATTGTGTAACCTAGAGATATACACTTGCCTTAAATACAGCTGAACGGAATACTTCTTTCCTCAAGGCAGCTGAGAACGGCTGCTGCTTCCAACTGTGCGTCGAGGAAAGAGGCGGTTTCACCAGCGGTATTGATCAGCAAATGTACAAGTTTTCGCTCATTCTCCCGAAGTCGCTGCACAATATATCTCGTTTCTTTTATTTTCTCGTTTCATTTACATGCTGTCATCATCGACGTCGCTTTCGCAGATCGGAGAGACGTGTACGGTAACACGCCGCTGCATCTCGCTTGCGAGGAGAACCGCGTGGAAGAAGCGAAGCTACTGGCGGCGAACGGCGCGGACCTGACGATCACCAACAAGGAACGCAAGACCCCGTTGGATCTCGCGGCTCCTGGTCTGGCCCGACAGCTCGAGGAAATCAAGCGAAAGACTACGTCGAAGTAAAAAGCGCGCTCGCCGTTTCTTGATTCTCTCTCTCTCTCTCTCTCTCTCTCTCTCTCTCTCTCTCTCTCTCTCTCTCTCTCTCTCTCTCTCTCTCTCTCTCTCTCTCTCTCTCTCTCTCTCTCTCTCTCTCTCTCTCTCTCTCTCTCTCTCTTCCTCTCTCTATCTCTCTCTCTCTCTCTCTCTCTCTCTCTCTCTCTCCATGCGAAAGTGGCGTTTCAAGTTTCATTAAATAAGTCTCCAATAAATTCATCTTGATTAAGTTTTCATTCTACACAATTTATTTTACCCTTCCCCCCCTCTCTCTCTCTCTCTCTCTTTCTCTCGTCCCTCTCTCACCCTCACATTCCCTCTCTCTTTATATATATATATATATATATATATATGTATATTTATATATATACGTAAAATACGATCAACATTTGCGTTCGTGCTATATAAAATGTATCAAAAGTCCTCTCCTCGGTATTCGACTAATTCTTTCCTCATGTTTCTCGCTGCTTCACGCCCCTTGGCTCTCTTTCTCTATTTATCTACCTTGCTCCCGTCATCGGCACTACTACTGCTGTATAATTAATCAACTGGATTCGCACGGGGGGAAGCGATCGTTATCTCGTCGCGGTTAATCTTAAGGCCGGAAACGCCGCGGGAAATTGTCGAAATGAGACTTTTGATTTTGATCGTGGAGCTGGTCGTACTCGCGGAGACGCGGCGAGACGTCAGTCGATCCGTGTTTTACGCGCCGAATCATCGAACAGAAAAGCCAACCACCCTCTCGACGGACGTATGTACAGAATTCACAGAGGTTCGAGAGCACACTGGGCCGACTCCGTTTACTCAATTGACGTTCTCCTCGCCGTCGATGCTCTCGTCCTGCGTCGTCGAATCGTCGCCGGAGCCGCCGGTCTGCACGGAGCCACGTTTCAGCCTCGAGGAAGAGCTCAGACTGCTTATCGGAGGACCGCCGCGCCTTTAAAACAAATCATACGTCGTGTTAGTTGCGCGGGGCGGCGACTCGTCGTATTCGCGAATTCGTGAAAGTGTGCGCGAGTAATAGGAAAGCGCACACCACCGTCGCTCAGTAGTTCAACACTCGGCGTGAACACACTTCGTTCTTCTGCGAGTCAAAGTCCCAGCAGATGTTTCCTCCAACACGAGGAAGACTGACGTATCGCGCAGCGTCGAACCACTGATCGGCGGTATCATGTGTCTGCACTGCGAGATCAAGTGAAATAACAAAGGGAAGAACGCATTCGCAAAACACCACTGCACTCAAGGGATGCCGTGAGGGGGAGAGGGGTGAAGTGAAGTGTATGTCGTTATCACACAAGGGTAGTAATCCAAGAGTTTAACGTTACTTTCGGGGGGGTTAGCGGTTTCAAATTAACCAAAAGAGCTCGTTCCACTCACTGTAGCACACTGGGGACTAATGGGATTGTTTCCTAGCAAAAAACTCTCTCAGGTAGGATACCAATCGTTTTTTCTCTCTTGACACCTACACATTTTCAGAAGTTGATCACTTCCTTCAAAGACAAAACAATTACTTTAATACTGCCTCATTACGTTCGCCTAAGGTTACAGATACGTACGGCCTAGAAAGCGCAACATAAAAAAGAATACATGTATAAATATCTATGTAATGCACAAAGGAGTAGTATCCTTTCGTTACTTTAATATTCCTCAAACGGAGGCGTTACCCGCCGCCGCCGCCGCCGCCCCCCCCTCCCTCCCTCCCTCCCTCCCATCCCCAAGAAACATCTGTCTACTTTCCAAAGCCGGTCTTATCCCTCTATGATGTCTGAGAATAACGGACGAGAGAGTTACCTCAATTTATTCTTAAGGTGCGTCAACTCCCGTGTGAGCTCCTCGTGAGATTCGATCATGTCGTCCATCTCTCTCTGCGCTTTCCGCTTCATGGTCTTATGCCTACTGATCTCCTCCTCCGCCTCGTCCAACTGCCTCTTCAGCGCCTTCATCCTGGCGTTAACTTTCTCCGCCTGCTCTTTGTACTGATCGGAATTTCGTCTCTCCTCCTCCAGTTGCAGGCTCAGATCCTTTAGCTTCTTCTCCAGCTTGCGATTGATCTTCTGCTGGGCGAATCTCTCCTTGGCTTCGATCTCGAGCTGCTCGTCCAGGCTGTTGATCTTCGATTCCAACTGCTGTATCGTGGCCTTGGTCTTGGCACGTTGCGCGGTCTCCAGCTCGGTCAGTTTAGCTTTCAGTTCCTTATTCTGTCTCTCCAGCAGCGTCTTGTGCGACTCCAACTTCTGTGTGGTGGAACGTTCGGTCGCTAGGTCCGTTGTCAACTGCTCGATCATGATCTGACCCTTCCTGGCGCGATCCATCACAATCTCGGCGTTTGACTGCTCCTCCTCCAGTTCCTCCTCCAAAGTGGCGATCCTCGCCTCGAGTCTGCGTTTCTCGTCTAGCATCAGAGTGCCCTTGTTCGCATTGTTGTTGACCTCCTCCTGCAGCTCGTCGCGCTCGTTCTCGGCGGTCCTTCTGGCGCGTTCGCTGCTGGCGAAGTCCTCGGTCAACTGCATCAGGTCCGCTTCCAGGCTCTTAACCTTTCTTTCGGTTTCCTTAGATGCAGCTGCCAATTCGTCCCGGGCTGCTCTGGCTTCCTCAGTCTCCCTGGTGCAGTCCTTGATCTGCGCTTGCAGTTTCTTCAGTTGCTTGAGCGCGTCTTCCTTCACCTTATTGTGCATCTCCAGCTGTTGCTCGATGTCCTTGTAGTCCGCCTCCATCTTCTTGCGCTGCGCGACAGCAGCGGCGCGTTGCTTCCTCTCGTCCTCGAGCTCCGCTTCGAAGTCACGCAACTGCTTAACCAACCCTCTGCGCTTCTCTTCAGCTTGCTCCTCCTTGGTCTGCAGGTCGCGCTCAAACTGGGCGCGCAACGCCTGCATATTCACTTCCAGCCGCAGCTTGGCGTCCTCCGTGAACTGCAGCTCGTCCTCGAGTTCCTCCACCTGCGACTTCTGCTCAGCCAGCTGCGACTCTAGTGCGCGTTTCGCCTTCTCCAACTCGTGCACGTTCTTGTCGGCAGTACCCTGATTGTTAACCAACTCGTCCAACTCCGACTGCAAGCCTCTACGTCCTCGCTCCAATTCCTCGACCTTCTCGCTCAGTTCGTCCAGTTCGCGAGTCAACGATAATACCCTGGTCTCCATCGCGCGCGCCTCACGTTCCGCAGCATCTCGTTGCTCCGCGTACTGCACGGACACGGCCTTCTCCTCGGCCAGCACCTTGTCGAAGTTCTTCTGCTTCTTCTCCAACTCGAGCACCTTCGCCCGTTGCGCTTCCAGCTCGATAGTGCTATCCTCCAGCTCAGCCTGTATCTTCTTCTTCGATTTGTCCAGCTTATCGTTGGCCGCTTGCAACTCCTCGACTTGCCTCTGAAGGGCCTCGATGTCTTTCGTACAGCGTTTTCTGGCCTCCTCGAGTACGACGGCAGCTTCCGCCTCCTCGTCGGCGCGTTTCTTCGCCTCGGCCAACTGTATATTCAGGCCCAACACCTGCTTGTCCAAGGCACGCTTCGCCTCCTCCTCCTCTTCGAGCTGATCGCGCAGGCTGTCTTTCTCGCTCTCCATTGCACGCAGCTTCGAGCTGAGAGCCAGTTTCTGTCGGGTCTCCTCTTCCAGTCGTTGCTGTAGTTCGGTGAACTGCGACTCGCAAGTGGCTGATGCCTTGAGTGCCGCGGATGCTTTCAACTCTGCGGTTTCGAGCTGTTGCATCACGCTCTCCGCCTCTTGTTGCAGCTTCGTCACTTTCTCTACAAGTTCTTGCTTGTTCCTCTCTACCTCGGCCAGCTTCGCGTTTATTTCCGCCAGCTGCTGTTCTGCCTGCTTACGACGGCGATCGGACTCCTGTCTACTCGCACTGACCGACCTCAATTCTGTCGCCAGGTCGGCGTTCTCGGCCTCCAAAGTACCTTTCACCTTTTCCAAAGCCGCTTTTGTCTTCTTCAACGCGTCCATTTGTTCGTTCATCGCGGTCAGTTCTTGCGTGTGCTTGTGACGCATGTCGGCGAGAGTGGCTTCGTGCAGCGACGTCTCCTCCTCGAGGTTCTTCTTCAACGTCGCGAGTTCTTGCTCTCGTTTGCTTCTCAACTCCTGCTGGGCCGCAGTGGTGTCCAGAGAGTCCAGCAATTCGTTCTTCAGCGCTTCCAGTTCTTCGTTCAGGTCTCGTCTGAGTTTCTCCGCCTTGCCTCTAGCCGCTTTCTCAGCTTCCAAGTCTTCCTGCAGCTCGGCTAACTGCGACTCCAGTTCTCTGAGAGCCTTCTGAGCTTGAGCCTTGGCGGCGCCCTCCTCGTCCATTTTCGCCATGACCTGATTGAGTTCCTCCTCGCGCTTGCCGAGTTGAAGTTGCAGCTCTTCGACTTGCGTTTTTCTCTCAGCCAACTGTTCCTTCAAATCAGAGACTTCAGTCTCAACCTTCCTCTTAGACCTATCCACCTCCTGACGTTGCTGGTGATCCTTGAGAAGTCTCTCCTCGAGATCGGCGATCGTCGCTTCGTGCTTGGCCTTCAATTTTGAAAGATGCTTCGCCTTCTCCTCTTCCTCTGCCAAAGTCTGCGAGAGATCGTTGGCTCGTTCCTCGAGAATTTTCTTCTCTTTCAGCAACTTCTGATTGGTGTCCTCCGAAAGAGCGAGATCCTCTTCTAATTTTTTTATTTTCGCATCGCACTGAACCTTCTCGAGTTGTAGCTTCTGCCTGGCAGCTTCCTCCTCTTCCAATTGCTCCTCCAGGTCGCTGATATTCAGCTGCAGCTTCTTCTTCTCTTGATTCAAAGCGGCGCTTCGCTCTTCCTCCTCCTCGATACGCGCTTCCAGGTCGTGCAGGATTTCCTCGAGCTCCTGCTTTCTCGCGGCTAACCTCGCCCTCATCTCCTCGGCCTCCGCACAGAGCTCGACCTCCGCCTGTAGTTGCTCCGCCAGCATCGTCTTCTCCTCGATCGCCTGTTGATATTTACGTTCGTACTCTTGAGCCGAATGCAACTGCAGCTCCAATTTGTCGCGCACTTGCTTTAGCTCGTCCTCCTTCTGCGTGAGCTTCTCCTCCTGTTTTGTGAC